GTTTATACACACACACACACACACACACACACTCTCTCTCTCTCTCTCTCTCTCTCTCTCCCCCCCACCCCTCCAAGTAAGAGTCTCTAAATGAAAAGAGGAAGAAGAAATCAGAAAAATCCTGGAGCTACACAGTCCACCTACTCAAGAAACACTCAGAGATTGAAAACAAAATCGTTAAGCACTTAGACCGCCTCCTGGCTCTCGTCCCACCCTGCCCCAGCACCACAGCTTGTCACTCTCCGCCTCTGAGACCAGCATGTGAACCTGGGGCTGTCACACAAACTTCCCAATTTCTCCTGTCTGTGGCATCTATAATTGGCAGGACAGCACAGTGGCTAAGAGACTCTGCAGTCACGCTGCCTGGGTTTGAGTCCCAGCTGAGCCACTTGGGGCTGCGTGGCCTTGGGCAAGTTGCTTACTCTCTCTGTGCCCAGGTTCCTCACATGTAAAATGGGATTGATGATCGCACCTTCCTCGTGGGCTGCTGTGCAGTTTAAATGAAGTAATCTGTGTGAAGTGCTTAGAACGAGCCTGGTACGGAGCCAATACTCTGTAAGGGTGAGCTGTTGCTTTCACTCTGCCCACCTGAAATTCTCACTACATTCCTGCCCACTCATCCAAATCACTGTCTTTTAAAACACCAAGCCAAATATTTTACCTTCCATTATACAATTAAAACTCAGTTTCAATGCATTTAATAAGGGTCTGCCATGTCCAGTGCTCCATAAAAAGCAGTGTGAATAAGACCCAGCCCAGCCCTTGTGATCACAGTTGACGAGGGGAAATGGACAGACCCTTCAACAACAATCATCACTGTAATTTGGCAAGAATCGTTAACTAGCACTACATGTTAAGTGTCCCTGCACTGGATTTTGCCTTACTCTCCCGACTCTCCTGAAACAGACATCCAATTTGTATTGTGACATTCGGCAGCAAAGGTGTTTGCTTGGTGTTCCCTGAATGGTTTCACACATATATGCTTTGACTTGTACAACTTGGTGGAAAGGAACCCATTCCGGGGCTGGACCTTCTAATTCTATCCTCCAATCCGCCCTATCCCAACAACCACCTGCTACCAGATATTTGACAACTGCGTATTAATTTGTGGTTGGTCAGAACATTTAAGCTTCTCTAGCAGAAAATTTCCAGGGCCTGGGAAGCTGGGTTTCTGGTCTGACATGTCTTTGACCCGCTTAACTATTGCTGAATTCTTCCCATATCCTCTTGGCATAAATAGGACACTGCATAAATAGAACAGCATATTAGTGATAACAAAAATAATAAAAGTGAACATTTATTGAGATCTTTCCATGTGCCAGATACTAGATCAAGTGCTTTAAATGCTCCATATAATCCCCCAACATCCCTGAGAGGAGGTATTGTTATTACCCCACTTTGCAGTTGAGAAAACTGACGTGCAAAGAGATGCCAGTAGAGGAAGAGGCATCAAAAACTGGTTCTCTAAAAATCTAGGAAGGCAATGATGGAAGCCATTTTCCATCCCCCGACTGTGTTCAGGTGGCTGGCTCCAAAACGAAATTTTCAGATCCACCCAAAAGGAAGGGAAAAGCCCTGAGCCAAAAGAAAGAGAAAGCCCCCTTGCTGAACACAGCCCACCCAGGTGCTGTCATCCCGCAGACCAGTCTCAGGAGACGCCACTGCTCCTCTAAGATTTCCAACCTCTCCAAACCATAAAGCCAGCCTGTGTAAAACTAACACAAAATATAAAACCAACTGGCTTTTTTCCTTCTAGAGTTTATAGTGAAGGTTTGTAGAGATGCACTCTCAGCAAGAGCTTCAGTGAGGCAGTTCCTCAAATCCCAAAGGAAGGAGAAGGGACCTAAAGAAAGGTACCCATGCTGACAGGGGAGGGAAGAGAACTGGGACGCATTTTACTTTGAAACCTTTAATGCACTGATTTCTGTTACTACCCTACTATTATGAAATTCAAGCAAAGAGAAGCTCACAGGAACCACCAGGTATTCAGAGCTTGGGGATTTGGTCTGGGTTATTGCTGGTTAAAAAGAAACAGAGGACACTCACCTACTCTCCGGCACCAACTAACTTCACCATAATCCCACCCCAAAGACAACCAAAATTAGTTCTGTAGAATCTCTCCTACTCCCTCCAACTCAAGCTGCGAGGAACTCCCACTCAAACTCAGACATAGAATGCTGAAATTGAGAGCCTTATTAAACCTTTAAAGAATGATGCGCTCAGTGACTGGCTTAGAAACAGTCTGGGGGCCCAAAAAGGGACCCTAACAAACGATCGCAACAATTAAAATCATTCTCACTGCCAGAGTCTCCGTGAAAATTCCCCATTCATTCAGTTCCACCTCTGAACATTTCATTCAATTCACTGGTAGCAGATCTGGGGTCAATTTACCCAGTGCAGTAGAGCAGCATCTGCAATTTCCTCAGTGGTGTGAAGAGTGAGTAACAGCACAGGTAATCAATGTGTGTAAATAAAAATCTGTGATGCTGAAAACGGGGAGGGGAGAAGAAACTCAGGAAGAAACACCACGTCCCTGGTGGCAATGGTGGCACCCCAGGAAATGCCTCCCCCCACCTCCAAATTCTGTAAATAAAAAAAACAAACTGCAGGGGATTCTAAGTATTTTCATCACTGCATCTCTTTTATTGAATTTCTAAATAATAACACTGCAACACATCCAGGGTTGCCTACATCCAACAGGTGGAGTGAATTTCTAAAATGATAGTGTAGGTTTTCCCCATGGGGCTGCCTATGGCACTATGGCCAAATCTGAAGGCAAGATCACATTAAAAGGCATAAGACGAAAGAAAATCTTTCTAATTCCAACCCTGAGTTGGCATGAAAAGGGCACTAAAGTTCCTCCAAAACAGGTACTACGATCCCATCTTCCAGATGGACTTCTTTTATTTTATGAGACTCTTATTAAGCATTCTGTTGGACAATGAACAGAAGCTCATTTTATGCTCTAGAAATATATTTTGAACTACCCAAAGCGAAATAGCATATCTGCAAATACAGTGAGCAATGTAAACACAATCTGGGGGAAAGAATCATGAGTCAATTAAATCAACAAATATTTATCAAGTGCCTGAGCCCTACCACTGAGATGCCCTGTCAGAGAGCTCCCGTGACTGAGCTTTCGGTGAGAAGCAGAAAGACGCAATTACAGTCTTCCTGAAAAATAAGTAATTAATCAACCACTGCTTCAGACTAATTGGCATGCCTAAGATTTCCCCATATCATTCCGCCTTTGCCCCTGAAATCTAATCCCTTGAGTCCTCTCTGGTTTCTCATATCACTGATTAGCACTAAGGAAGCTCCCATTCTCACCTGGCCAGCCCACTACTGACCAGAACTAGAACTCTCCACACACCTCCTTCCAGTCTGATGTGTGACCTTCAGTGTGCTGCATATGTCAAGGTTAAGCTGTCCACTAACCATGCATCCTTTGCTATCGGGCCTCCACTTCTGCCCTGCCCTTCAGTGCCAGTGCAAAACCTCGTAGCCCTGCTGGGCCACTGCAAATCTCTCTGGTGGCACATTCAACAGCTAGTTAGCTTTCTGCCTCTCTTCCCATCATCCAGATTGCTTTGGGGTCGCAGAGCAAATTAGCCACAAAGGCACAACCAACACTACCAAAATTCAACCCCAAATTTTACACCTAGCCTCCAGGCAGGGAGGAGAGAAGGACCACCTCAGCATCTTTCTAAATAAAAATCTGTCTCAAATTCAGTCACAGTCCTCAACCTATCTCGTGTCAAGTGCTTAATTCTCTGCAATAGTCTGAAATCTTTTCAGGAACATTACTGTCAAAATAGCACCCAAGGGGAGACACCATCCAAGAACCAACATGACATCCCTTCAAATTGATATCTAAGCTACAAGCACAACAAATGGGGAATGAATGCTGCCAAGGAGAAAATCAAATTCTGCTCATCTCCTAAGTGGGCAGCAACTAACTAGCCAACGTTACCCTAAGAGCCTCCAAGTGAGGGAGCCAGGGCATCGGAGGAATAACACAGCCGGTCCAAGACCCGCCTAGGAACCCACACCTCTGAACACAGAATGTCATCAGATCATGAGAACGAAGCAAGACACCGAGCTTCTGCTGCTCCACAGAGGCTACTGCATTTCAAATAAATTCCAGGATGCTGGAAGCCAGGACCCACTGATCCCAAGTGCCATGCTAATGCGTTTTTCATTAGCTTTTTCAAGAATGGAGACAGACCTATCAGGTCAAGAGGTTTACAGTAATATTTACACTTCCATTTTTCTAGTCTCCTGGTTGGTTTGGTTTCCCCCCCGTGCATCCCAGTTTCTGGGGATCAGTGACTTGACTACATCACACTCCCTCCCCGGGTCTCACGGTAACAGGGCTCTCTTGGGCTGCCAGCACTCTGCCAGCTCAGAAAGGCTACGCTGCCAGAGCCCTGACCTCTCGGCAGACTTCAAGCGGAGCTGAGCACCATCTCTCAGTGAGAGCTCCGGTGCAGCCACTTGAAGCTCAGCAAAACCCATCAGGAAACCTTGAGACACAGTTTTTACTTTTTTTTTTTTTCCCTCAATACAGCCAAGGCAGCAAGCTCCATCCACCCACCTGAGAAACAGATGAATACCTAGGTGGATAGATACAAAAATGGACAGCCCATCTTAACCCTGCACATTTCTCCTTCCACCAAGGGTCTGCACTGTTAGATATTCCCCTCACTTCCTCCCTTTTGAAGAAGACCAAACACTGAAAAACTAGCTCAAAGTACCTAATTGACAATTACGATGTTGCAGACAAGAAGAAGTGCCTTAAGCAGTGCAAACTGAAAATGTTAACAGCCCACCCCTCCAAAGCCCAAACAGGTAAATTGCTTTCCCAATGCAGGCTGCTGAACAGCTTCCCTCCACCGCGCTCCCCCCACCCAGCCACCACCACCACCACCACCACCACCTTTGGGCTCCCTGCACCTTGCATCAATGCAGTTCCCTTAGAAAGTCAAATTCTCACTTACTCAGATCTACCAAGAATCCCCAGTGCCTTGCTATAGGAAAACCCCACAAACGGCAGTCCTTCACCAGAGAAGCCTGAGGGGCTCAGCTGGCACGGAGAGGATGAAACCCACGAATTCTTCTCTGGTTCATCAAAATTGGAGGTGTCATCATCAGACTTGAGGGTGGGAACGAAGGGGGGAGGAGCTGGTTAAAGAAAAACAAGAAGAAGGGAGGGGAGAGAGAGAAATTCAGCCGGATTCAACACTGTTGCAGAGAAAATCGCCTCACTCCTTCAGCGTTTGCGATGGCACTGCAGCGCCTGCTTTCAATCTAGCTCGCACAGGCAGCCCCAGCCTGGGCTCTTACAGCAACAAGAGATTAACCCCTTCTCTGCCAACATGGCCACCCACCCGCAGACAGGCTGCCTTCCCTGCTGGGATAAACGGAAGGATAAACTCAAACAGGTCACTTGGTGGAAAGAAAGCACTTGGGGAACTCATGTGAGCAAGCTGCTCATTGCTGCTCATCGCTCATTGCTGATATTTCCAGAACGCTTCTACAGAGCATCAGCCAGCTGGTACCAGCATGCCCGATGACCTAAACCTATTCATTTTCTCTTCCAGATGGGTCTACATTATTAATATTTAGTGCTAATCATTGGTATAAGATGGAATTTCTACATTTTGTGGATCAGCGGGAATGAGAGGGAGGAACAGGAAAGAGGATTTGGGAGGTAGGTAACTCGTGTTAGGATAGCACTGCAGTCTAGCTCATTCATACCCAGATGAGTATACTCTGAGCTCTTAGTAACCACTTCTTTTTAGTTCCTTATCCTTCCTCCCCAGCTCAAGCATACCCCCCGGATCCACCGCAGTTGCATCGGCATAATGAGACACCAGGCAAATAAAGTTCTTCCCGATGCTTTACAGCACCCCTGCACGCTGATGGTGTTAATGCACCGAAGGACATAAGCGTCCTACCTCATTAAGGCATGGCTCCCAGCTAGGGGTATCTTACATCTTCTCCACTTGCTGCAGACCTACTAAACTCCCTCAGTCAGGGAGGTGGAAACTTGTCCATCAGTCACCAGGAGGCTGCCCATGGTGGTGGGCTCCCAGGGGTGTAGCCGGCCTGAAGCGTTACCATGGCTGCAGGCTGAAGCATCTGTGGCAGCCCGGCCCAGCGAGTTGGTGAGCTGGGCATCACATCCCCCGCAGTGCAGGCTTCACGCTCCCTACTCTGTGCGTGCTCTGCTGTGGCTGTAACCCCACCTGGCCGGCTGCGTGGCAGGGGCCAGTGCTGATCTGAGTGACAGGGCTGCATGAGTCACTGCCGGAGCTTGCTACAGCGCCCCCTAGGACAGTTGTCACAGCCCTTCACAGTCCAGACTTCTCCTTTAACTCCTTGTTTCCTGGACAGAGCTGTGTGCCAGATCTGAGCAGTCTGTTTTCTGCTTACAGACTTGAAAGCTTCTGGCTGTTTCCAAAGTTCCCCAATGACAAGAATATCGGAAGCAGCACCGGGAAGTAAATGGAGTAGTGAAGGGATGTGGAGGGGTAAGAGATGAAGCCAGAATGAAAGAGCCCGGCTGCTCCCAGGAAGCACAGAAGAGCACTCTCAGAGACTCAGGTGCATTGGGAGGAGTTAGACTGAGACTAAAAATGTAAAATGTGCACTGCCAGAAACTCTCAAGGGAATTTAAGTCTTCCCTGTTAGTACTGGAATCTACTTGCTTAATACTTTAAAAATTAGCTGATGGAAAGAAAAATGACATCGAACGCTTCAGCCTACATCCCATGTGCACTTTCATCAACACAGCCTCAGATTCAGTCAGATTTCAATTACCCAGTACTTTTTAAGCAAGAAAAAAAAAACTATTACATTTCATAAGAATCAAGAGGTTTTCCATCCTAAAATAAGAAAACTCAGATAAAGACTGAAGAAATGTATTAAGAGAGATTTGCAGATGATAATAAAATGGAACTGTTGTGGTTAATGGGACAGACGTTGGAATCAGACTGAATGGATTTAAGCTCTATTTACCACTTAACAGCTCTGTGACCTCGGGAAAGTCACTTAACCTCTCTGAGCCTCACTTTCAATACGGAGATAACTTCCTCAAAGGGCTGATGGGAGGTTTAAGTAAAATAATCTATACACAGTGCTTGCACAGTTCTCAGCATAAACACTCTATAGAGATTGCCTGCTATTACTATTATTGCTCACATGAGATACATGTTTATCACAGAAGCTGCATTTATTGAAGTCTGGTGAGATACAGCAGAATCTAAACTGAATATTATTCCTTCCTGCACAAGACACTGACACACTCATATGGATATTTGTGTTAATCATATTATATCATTTCATTCATAACAGAGGTTTAATTCCCTTTCCACTATATACTAATCTATCTTTAGGAGACTAAAATAGAATTCCATTTCTGAGTGAGGAGTGTGATTAATATAGGGGTAGGAGCCACCCTTTGTGAAGTAAGTATGATTTAGAAATTCCATACTATAAAATAAGATTCCTCTTTAAAACTCCATCATGCTCAAAGCTAGTTCATGTGGTCGAGATTAGAAAAAGGGCCAGATAATCTTCAATAAAAAGAAGTCAACATGAAATATAACAGCTGATAATAACTGAGATAGTCACAGGACAGATTAAAAGCTACAGTTGTAAACCTACAGAGAGGTAATCAATTGAGTACTACAGTAAACTCTGAAACGAAGAGTTTCTAAGGATCGCATTTGGGCAGGGAAAAGAGCCACAGCCCCAAGCCAGAGAGAAATGGGGGAACTGGAAATTGTCTACCCACCAGAAAGCCACGAGGACGTTCACCCTTGACCAGAGGCCTTTAGGGGGAAAGAAGCAGGGTGGCTATTAAAACTGTAATCCCAGGTAGAGTGTCTGCATTTACACAGTGTGGGAACTACAATGCAAGAAATTAACATCAAAACTGGTCCAGGATCACTGAGGGCACTGGCAGACACAAATAAAGGATAACTTATAGGGACACTTTCACAACCCGGGACACACACACAATCCGTACTGGAAATGAGTTCACAATAAAAAAGGAAAAACTAACAGCTACACATAACACGGAAAAAGAGACCATCCAAACCACCATGAAGGAGCATCAATAGATACAAAAAAAAAAAAAAAAAAAAAGGGAAAATTTGCCCTCCAAAAACTGCAGGTAAAAGAACAGTCTAAAATGGACCATTGAAAATTTTTAATGTATTATCAAGGTAAATTCTAATAAAAGAACCAAATACTCTGAAAAGGGACCAAGCACATTTGAAAGAAACCAAGTGGAACTTTTACAAAATGAAAAGAATTACTACTGAACTTAAAGTTAAAAATTCATTGGATTCATTAAATAAAAGGTCAGACACAACTAAAGAGAAAATTAGTGAACTAGCAGTAGATCTGAAGAACTTACATAGTCCCACGCTTCTCGCAGTGTAATCTGTAGACTGGCAGCATCAGCATCACCTGGGAGTTACTTAGAAATAAAGACTCTCAGGCCTGCCCCCTGCCCAAGGAATCAGAATCTGCATTCTAACAAGAAGTGAGGTGATTCATGAGCACATGATGGTTAGAAATGTGCTCACAGAGAACGCAACACACAGAGACAGAAGACATGAAAGGTCAAGGGGTAAAGAATGAGGAGGTTCAATATACATCTAATTGGAGCACCAGAGAGAGTAAACTCGCTAGAAATCCAGATGCCACATTTTAAAAAGACTATGTAAAATTTGGTCAAGTCTAAAGACCACCAAGTATGTGACCACATGGATACTGGAGGATTAATTCCCTTTTTTTTTAATTGTTGTTCAAGTACAGGTGTCCCCATTGTCCCCCCACGGCTCTCCCCTGCCCTGCCCAACCTCCACCTTCCACTCTCAATCCTCCCAGCTCCGTTGTCTTTGTCCTTGGGTCCTTTATACATGTTCCTTGACTTGACCCTTCCCTTTCTTTCCCCTGTTAACCCCCTTTTCCCACCCCTCTGGTCACTTTCAGTTTGTTCTTTATTTCCATGTCTCTGGTTCTATTTTTCCTCTTTCCTGTACCTTATGGAAAATGGCCCTTTTTTGATCCTCATAAACTGTAATATTTTTTTGCTTTTAAAAAGGTACTAATAGGTCATTGAAATCATTGGGTCAGTGTCTATGTTGATGGAGGTACACATTGCATCTCAGAACATAGTAGGCGCCCAATAAATATTTGCTGAACAGATATGTAATTGAATGACTAGAAAATACCTCTTACAAGAGAGCCCCTAGCATAATACAAGCCATGAAGAAGTCACTTGATGTTTGAGTTAAATAAAGAGGCTTTAAAAGTGGAGATTGTTCTGTCTGAAAAATATGTTAATTAGTGCCTATATTAATATTTTCTGATACAGTATTACAAAATCATCATTTCCCCCCCCCACACCCACCACACTCAATAATGACAAATAACAAGCCATGTCTTAAGATCTACTTTTCATTGGCAAAAGGCACTCTGAAAAATAGAAAAAAATCTTTCCCCACATATTTTTAAATAAATCAGCCTTGCTTGAGGTCACATCAGGGAACATTCTCCTTAGTGCGGGGCGGGGGCAGGGGAGGCGGGTTATCAAAACAAATTCTGGAGGGTTTTCATTTTTTTCGCCAGTTATATGATAGATGGCAAAACAAGGCTTTCAGAAACAAAGAGCTATTTTAAGAGCTGTAGTTAAATCTCTCTCCTATAAATTCTCTTTTTTTTTTTGAATCCTGACATTTATTAAAAGCTTTGAGGGACAAAACTATTATTGCCTTCAAGAATATTCAAAAAATAAAAACAAGGAAAGGAGAACCAAATGGATTCGTCCTTTGGCCCTACTTCTTTCTAACATGCTCCATGGACCTTCATTTACCTAATTGCCACCTTTAATTTTTCTGTATACCAGACAGACAGTAATATTAAAAACACAAAAGATTTTCCAATTTTGTTACAGTGTTTACTGTCTACTTTCCCCACTGGAACACAAGCTCCATGAAGGCAAAGACTATGCTGTGTTCACCACTGCATGCCTCACACCTAGAACAGTACCTGGCTGTCCTTATTCCACATTTCATATCTAGTATGTTAAAGAAAAGAATGAATAACAAGAGTCTTAGACGTGGGATCATTTCTTAGACTTAATGGGTATTCTCATACCATACGTC